CTTATCTTATCTTATCTTATCTTATCTTATCTTATCTTATCTTATCTTATCTTATCTTATCTTATCTTATCTTATCTTATCTTATCTTATCTTATCAAAGTAAAAGTCACTCCCTTTGAAATGTGTTGGTTTCACCAGTAAGACAAAAGTTGCATGGTTCCAATTTGCATCATATTTTCCCAAGTCTAATTACTAATAGGAGTGATCAGAACAGTGTGATGCAGAAGCCTCTTTGCATCAGATTTCACCTAATAATGCTGAACAGAAACCCCTTGCTAGCAGCTCTTTCCTATCAACTAGTGAAGATTACATTTATTTTAAGGACAAAAATGTTAATTGGCAAGTCTTACCCAGCTCCAAGTCTCTGATGCCCATGTAGCTCTCCAACAGGTCATCCACTTTTTTGGTGGCTCGTTCTTCAAATTCATTCTGCTGGCATAAAACATATGAACAAAAGTGTGCAATCCTATGATAAACATGGTGGCAGAGGATCTAAGACAGCATGTCACTGGATTGCTCCTTTGTCAGGGACTTTGTTTTTAATTTACTGTTATAAAGCTATATGAGCATCTATGGATGATGAAGTCCTTAGTGTTAAAAATCCATAGAGTAATTATCCTTATTATGAAATCATGTAAATATGTTTATATATTCTGTTTGATCTCATTCCAGATCAGTATAATGTAAAATATGCAGCATAAAGAAAATGATTTCCAAGATTTTTTTTCCAACCTAATAAAGAAGACTTAATTTAAGACACTTTGATTAAATCAAACAAGAAGCACTCTGCTCACTCAAATAATCTGATCACACTCAGTCTTGTTTGTTTCGTGCTCTACAGATGAAAGACATGTACGTAAGTGTAGACATGCACAACTAGTTCTCTCTTCTTTTTCTAGTCTCTTATGACTGCCACAGGGTTTATTTGATGAAAAACTGAAACTCTAAAGCCCACATATTTAAAATATTACTAAAAAGCACTAATATGGTGCTATAGCTCTGTGTCAAGTGTGTGAAAACCATGAGACATAATTAGAAAAAGGCAGTCAACAAAATGATCGGTGGTTCAACCATTAAACACTTGTGTGGGAGGAAATGATAAATTTTTTTATAAAGATCACTTCCTGTGAAAGAGTTTCGTTTGCTTGTTTGTGTGTGAGTGGAGTCAAACAGTTCAGTTACTTATTTAAAATGCTCTATATGAGCTCTGTGTGTGTGTAAACGCACACTGAGAACATCTGAAAATGCAATCAGTCATTGTCCGGCAGGACGTAAAACTCACCACTTCCTGAACTGTAGCAGAACCCTTGGACCTTAGTCGCAGGGTTTCCTTCCCATTCACCATCTTGCCCTCATTAGACTTTGGCGCTCTAGTCCTCATTCCAATCATGTCTAACAACACACGCAGAACAACAATCATTAATCAACGTCAAATGCTTATTTGGTTAGAAGTAGCATGATGTTAATTGTGTAACATTGATTTTTTTTTTCTTCTTGCAAACTATGAATATATTCTTCGATTTTTTTCCCAAGAGGCTGATGTGTTCCTTCCAACACATCACTGTCAACACAGTTTTTTGGAAAAGAAAGACAACTATAACAATGCTTAAAGATTTCCATTCCTTATTTGGAAGTGGTATCGCATCCTGTGAAAATCTAAAAAAACTCTAGCCCACTGTGCTGGAGTCAGTCTTGTTTGTGTGATATCTTTAGCAGGTTCTTGTGTAATGTATTTCCAGTGTCACTGTTGGCTGTTGAGTTGATGAATGTGTTTGTGTTAAAAACGTTCACCCCAAATCATTTGCTAAGACCTGCATCATTATAATCTGTACACTGTACAGTAATTGAAAAGCAACATTGCCGACATCTGTGAATTCAAATGGATTTGTATTTTTATTTGTCTCTGCATTGCTGTGCATATCTTTAACCCTCAGTGGGGCAATTTTGAGCCCCATTTTATTTTAAACAACACATTCTTGATGATTCTGTGTTCATCTTACCGAAATGCTGCCCTGAACCTATGAGAGATATTCTAAAATGTTCAGATCTGATTAATGATGGTTTTCAATCATTTCATGGAAATATAAATGAAACACTAACACACATACAAAGAAAATTACATTCAAATAACCCTCGTCTGTTGATTTTTACAGAATATAGTTTTGTGTTTTTTTTAATAGCAAAGTGTTGATGAACTGGGGACTCTATAACTGACAGAAAATTGGAATTAAGTCAGTGTCAGTGTGTTTTTTTATACTTTTGTTAAAAAAAATTAAACATATTTAACCTTTACATATTGTTCAGGTCACATTTGACCCATTTTGACATTGGATAGCATTAAAAATGCAGAAAATATTTCTTTCATTTTTTTTTAGCCTGAAATTTAATGACTTTTCCTAAAGTAAGAGATTTAAGATTAAAAAGATTAAAAGGTACCTGAGCTGAAACACAAAAGTGTTTCTGCAAATATTTCCAACTATGGAAAGTTGTTGGAGAAGTAGACAAATTCATGGACTTTAAATTTCCTGCCTTCCTGATTTCTTAGTCTTTTTTGTTTATTTCTCATACTTACAGTTTTTCTCAGTCGCTTTGGTGCTTTTCTCACATCACTATCAGTGTTGGTCAAGTTACTTGAAAAAAGTAATCAGTAACTAATTACTGATTACTTCCCCAAAAAAGTAATCCCGTTACTTTACTGATTACTTATTTTCAAAAGTAATTAATTACTTAGTTACTTAGTTACTTTTTAAAAACACGATTTACAACCTGAATAGGTGATAAAGCGATAGATCTTTCAGCCCAATTCTACTTTTTCTGCATAATCCATCATACAAAATGTAATCAAATGGAAAAGTCTCTTTTTAAAACTTGTTTTATTAGTTTTAATCTTTTAACTTTATGCATCAAGCAAAAATTTAATTATATGCAACATTCTCTGACTGGAAGAAATTTGTTTAACATTTAAACCTATTTTCTGCACATTCCAGCACATAAAATAAAATATTTTTTGTGTTTACACTCAGTCTTTCAAATAGATGCAAGTAAAACACAGCAGAAAATAAATAAAGTCAAAGACTAGCGGTCCTGTTGCTCTATTTTCACCTGTAAAGCAGGAGGGGTAGGCGGAGGTTTACCCTGGTGCAGGTGTGCCAGCGGTCAGTGGAAGAATCGCGAGTTTCTCTGTGAATTTCCCATTACGTCGTAGCGCACTCGGTGCTTGCTTGGAAGTTTAGGGGTTTTTTTCGCTGAAAAAGAAGTTTTCTTCCCACGCACAGCGACACTAATGTTTTTGTCACTTTTTATGGAATCAAACTCAAAGTAAGGTCAGTACTTCCACGCTTTAAACGCTGCACGCTCATACTCTCTCCCGCACTCGATATATGATCCATTGTTGATCTGCACACAGCTGTTGTCACGAACGTCGCACTCGCTTACGTCACTGTCATGAGACATTCTCGCAAGAAAATCACGGTTTTAGTAACGCAGTAACGCAGCGTTCCTACGGGAAAGTAACAGTAATCTAATTACCGTTTTTGCAATAGTAATCCCTTACTTTACGCGTTACTTGAAAAAACTAATCGGATTACAGTAACACGTTACATGTAACATGTACACGTTACATGTAACGCGTTACTGCCCATCTCTGATCACTATTAACATTTGCACAGCAGTTAGTGTATTTCTCAAAACAATTAGTGCAAGCTGCAAAACCTAGTGGATAACCTGCAAAAGCAGGTCACTTGCTCAAAATCAATAATCCATTCCTCAAAAACAAGTATTCATGTCAATGAAACTGTCAGTGTCATCAAAATGAGAAGTCTTGAACCATCTCGATGACCAAGATAATCAAATGGCTTTGTCATGTTTTCATTATGACAGTGTACAGTATTCTCTCAGTGTCTTCCAATGCAAAAAAAGGTCAGAACTCGGTGACACTACCTGAAAATGCTCAAGACAGCATTATACACTTTTTGCACAGCCATGTACAATCAAATCTACAGTAGAGTTAGACATTCCTGTAGTTATGGAAGTAAGTGAGTACAAGACACTGAATACGTATGTTTCACATTTTTACTGTGTAGGATGTTTGTAATTTTACAACATTGTGCAAAAGAAAAATACTCTACAGTCGCGTATTTAGAATAAGCATGAGAAACACCCTTTTTGGCAGAGCTGTGCACAAATGTGAACAATATAACAGTATATATTGTAAATGAACATACGTAAATCATTCTGGCACATTCAGACGTTCCTGTCTGTCTGGCCACATATTCCCATCTACATCACAACAGATACTGCATCCATGGCTGCTAGCATGGCCATTTGTGAATGCTGGTCACAAACCTTCCACCTCCAGGCAGACAAAAACTCCTCTATCGGATTAAGGAATGGGGAGTAGGGAGGGAGATATTCAACAGGCATTCTGTCATGTGCTGCAAACCACTGTCTGACCAGATGTGAGTAGTGAAAAGGGACATTATCCCACACAACAACATACTTGTTGAGTTGACCTCCACCCCTCTCATTCTCAGGGACTATGGCATGAGAGAAATTGTTCAATTTCAGGGACAGGAAAAAATAATGGAAAAAAGGTATAACATTTTCTTGACAGCATTTGAAAACTAATTCACCAATTTTGGATGTAATGACTCAAGCAATGAAATAAAGACTATTGGTTTTATTGGGAACGACTATTTAGCATCCAAAGGTATAGTTCATTTTGACTGACATGACATAAGCAAATGATAATGTGGTCGATGGCAGAGAACTGTATGAAAGCAACTGAAACGTGTCCAAGAGCATTTGCAATTTGTTCAGAGGAAGGAGAAATTGCTACTATGATGTGCACAAATGACTAAATGTTGTGGAGGTTGCACTAATGGTTTTGAGATTTTGATATTTTCATTTTTCATTTTGATCTGAGAAAAGCACCAAAGCGACTGAGAAAAACTGTAAATGTTTCAGATCGCAATCAAAATTACAAAATTGTGTTTTTAAATTATTATTTTATTTATTAGAAGGTAATAAGGGAAAATACCTATCCAAACTTACCTGTCCCTATGTGAAAAACAGATCACTTGAGGGTCACTACTAACACACTAAACCCCTAAATGAACATTTGCATGTAGAAAAATTTGCAGACTGCTGTTAGAATTTAGGTCACTGGTACAAGCATGGCTGTAGCGCTCTGGTATTTCAGAGAGATGCTCAATGCTTAAATACTTCCCAGAGAAATCATTTGAGCCCATGTCTCCTGAGGTCTGCATTAAAATGCATATCTGGTTATTTCAATAATTTCTAAGAGAAAATAACAGTTCAGGGGTAAAGTCAGAGATCAGCATCAGCTATGTCATGCTAACAGTATAAACAACTGATACTCCAGAAGCAACTACTGTATGTAGCATCTTTGTCCTGCTGCGAGTCAAACATGATTGATAAATATGACACATCTTGATTGGAGCTGAACTTTATGTGACTTTTTGTCCTTGTAATACAGCAGCTCCAGCCACAGACTCTGCAAATACTGAGTAAACCTTCATGATGCACACAAAAACAAAAAACAACTTTAGCTTTAAACTCTATGTGTGTGAGTATGAGAACCAACATGTGTTACAATTTTAGGATTCGAGTATACTTTATCATCTTACGTTTAATCGAATCCATCAAAATGCCATTTGGCAGCATGTTTTCATTTTTAAATCAAGTCATTTAGTTGCTAACACACCTAGAAAGACTTGCGATTGACAGATTTACCCAGTGAGATGAGGGGATTTGTTTCTGCTCTTGTCACTGTGATGCAGAGGGTCACACCACACTGTGACAGTTCACACACACATACAAAAGAGGTGGAGACTGAAAGCACAATGTGATATACTGGAACGTTGCCGGGTTTATTAAAGGAGCTTGATATGGGGATGCCACTCAGCTTGGGTTCTAAATTGTCATTTCCTCATTGACCATGAGAGATAGCTGCAAAACAGTAACAACATAACACGACAGCTTCAAAAGCAAACTAATCCAGGTTGTAATCCATTCCAATCATAATTATGCATCTTTATTCTATGCTAGTATTTTGATGTGTATTGCATTCTCAAAATGACTGGAATATCTGTTAACAGAGATGTGACAACATGTTACGAGATACCGATCTGTTGCAGGAAGTAAGCCAGTTAACCATGGATTTGGTTTCCTGTCTGATAAGCGTGCTGTGGACAATGAGGCTCCAAACCAGTCAGATTCACTTAGGAAAGGAGAGTAAGGTGTTTCCTCTATATATTGTAACGAGGATGCAATAAATCAACAACTCACCGAACTGTTGACAGGTAAACTATTTTTCATAAAGAGATACTTCATGCTGTTAAGGACCTTTGCTGTTTGAAAGGCACAGAGATTTGATGTGTGTAGCATAGAGGCACCACAGTGCCGCTGATGTCAGCTTAAACAAGCTTGTCAGACTGTAACATGACATAAAAGCAAATACAGCACAAGGTGGCTTGTCAAATCACTATTAGCTGATGAACCTGCTAACCACTTCTTTTTATTTCCTGGCAGACATTTGCATGAAATGTAAATAAAAGTACCTTTTGAGCTCTATAAAACAGTGAAAGCACAACATGTACATTTGGATCAAACATTTACTTTACTTAATTTCTTTGGCAGTGACTCTGCAAGAGTGTGAAAAATGAGCTGCTATGTCTTTTCTCTCTCTCCCGCCCTTCACTCTTTATCGCTGTGTTAGCATGGTTTATGTCTTCTTTTCTCCCTTCTCATCTCCAAGCCCAGACCATCCAGGCAGATGGCAGTCTGCCGTGCCGTGAGTCTGCTATCAGTTTCTCCTTATTAGAAGACATTTGCTCCTTTTTTCCATTTTTTCTCGAACGTTTTGCTGTTACTTTGCAACAGATCCCACAGAACAATTCTCACACAACAATTCAGTCCATATAACGTTGACAAGCTGACTATATATTTTTGAGACAAGGGGGTTAGGAATGTAACTCAGAAGGCTGTTCTCATGAGCGCACTGCCATCCATCCATCTATCCATTTTCTTCTGCTTATCCAAGGCCGGGTCATGGGGGCAGCAGTCTAAGCAGAGAAGCCCAGTCCTCCCTATCCCTGGCCACCTCCTCCAGCTTGTGCGGGGAACACCAAGGTTTTCTCAGGCCAGCCGAGTAATGTAATCTGTCCAGCATGTCCTGGGTGTGCCCCTGGGACCCCCTCCCGTTGGGACATGCCCAGAACGCCTCACCTAGGCCCAGAAGGCATCCTTATCAGATGCTATAACCACCTCAACAGGCTCCTTTCTGGACAGGGGTGCAACTAAGGGGAACCCAGGGGGCACTGGCCACCCCCCAAAATTTGCTGGCCCCCTAGTGGCACCCCTAGTAAGATAGTCCTATGGTGGTGATAATTTTAATAAACATGAGCACAACACAAAGGAAGACACCCCATTATGCATTGAAACATTAACTGTTTTGGGGGTTATATTTTTAGTGGTCCCCATATTGCTACCCCTATGAAAAAATTCTGGAAGCACCCCTGACTCTCAACCCCTCCCGAATGACCAAACTCCCCACCAAATCTCTAAGGGACAGGCCACCCAGTTCATTTCCACCACTTGTATCCGCGATCTTGTTCTTTCAGTCACTACCCAAACTCATGACCTTAGGTGAGGGTACAGACGTAGATTGACCGGTAAATCAAGAGTTTCGCTTTTATGCTCTGTTTTCTTTTCACCAACAGACTGGCACAGCATCCATCACTGCAGCTGCAGCACCAGTTTGTCTGTTGCTTGTCTATCTTGTCTATCTCCTCCTCCCCGCTCCCCTCACTTGTGAACAAGACCCTGAGATACTTAGTCCTCCACTTGAAGCAGCAACTTGTCCCTGACCTGGGACAGAGCTGAAGCCCTTTTAGGTTTAGGATTAGGTAGGGATGGAGCCCGGTGTTGGGTCTGTGCTTCCACAGGCCCCGCTGGTTTAGAGACTTAACGAAGCAAGACGAACAGCAATCAATCGATTTTACTTGCTAGCAAGGGAGGCTGGTCAGAACCAGGCTCTTGGAGCTGAACGCTCCTCACCTGTTTCCTAGCCAACTTCAAATAAACAGCCTTCCTTGCAGCCTTTTTATTGAATACAGTTACAGTTTACACAGGCACCACCCATTGTAACAACCCCGTGGTGTGTCGGGCCCTTGTATTTGTGTGTATGCATGTGCGAGAATGTGTGTGTGTGTGTGTGTAGGTGCCCGTGAGTGTGTGTGTGTTTGTGTTTGGGGGTGCATTTGTGTGACCACCTGCTCACCAAAGGGTCATAAAGGCAGGAAGTTTACTAAACAAGAAAACAAAACCTTCACCTAGGATGTGCCTATAATAAAACACTACAGCCTCCCTCACCATTCAACAGGCTGGGGAGGGGGTTAGAAACAAAGGAATGTCTTTGATTATACAGTTTGAACCAAGACTTACAAATTTAAGTAACACAATGACAACATTTAACAATTTCAACCTAACACCCGGTTTTGGTGAAATATACTCTAGACCTTTAACAGATTAAGGATTCAATTAATTCAGTGTTATGCATATAGCACCAAGGCACAACAGTAGTCACCTCAAGGTGCTTTAGTTTGTAAGGTAGAGACCCTACTACAATAACTGCAGATAGTGTTGTGCTGCTTAAAGTGAGAATTAGACCGTAAGGACAGAAAAATAAATGTCTGCCTCCATACAAGTGATGCACGTGTTCCTGTCTAAATGGTGTTTCCAGTATTCCTTTTAGAGATTTGTGAATAATTGTTCCCCAGGGTTAACAACAACAACTGCAAAAATCATTCACAGCCTTTTTTTATTAGATATGTGCATGTGCATTAAATTTTACTCAGTAAGTGAGACGACAGTTGTTTTACAAAGAAAAATAAAAACTGAGAAGGCAAAACATTATTAGTTTATATTTGTCTGCAGTATTATAGACTCAGTCTATGAACACAAAGTGAATTCATTTACATTTGTCTGCATTCTTAATTTATATTTCACACATGGTCATTGCAGCTGACTACTGTAACACTGGTCAATTAACTGTGGCTGGAAAGTTTAACGGGAGTTCAAGGCCCACTGGCAGACCGCCAGTGAAATATCCCTGCATCCTCTTTCTGTTTTTGCTGATGAGTTATGAAAAACATCTGAGGAGTACTAACCCCATCAACAGCTGAGGACAATGTCAGGCAGGGTGGCAATAAGCTATTAGTGTCTACTTTCTGTGGGCTGTCGTACCAGGGGAAGTTGGTGTGCTTACAATATTAAATAGCCATGCCATGCTATAAATCACAGTTTTTTCCCATTGTTTTAGCACCAGGAACCCTGCTGGTTTTTACTGAATTACATAACTATACATAAACTTTAATGTAGGTCAGTGAGTGAATGCAAAGGCCAGGAAGTAATAGTACTGACACTTTTAGTATGAATATTTTTAAAACTACTGAATTTTAATAGTTTTTGTGTGCAGACCCAGTGTCATCTAAGGCTCTAAGCGAGTTCAAGTCAAAACACCCATATTAAAGTCTAAATTTACAATTAAATTAAAACAAATATCCACCATGTTCTACTTACCAAAGGCTTTCTTGGGTCCCACAAGTCGAAGAGTGAAGGGTACGCCTCTCGGTTGCTCTTTTAGCATCTTTGCAACCTCGTAGTGCCGACACCCTACAATGCTCTGGTCATTGATGGCCTCGATGTGATCTCCAACACATACTGTCTTCAGCTGGTCGATGGTGCTGCCTTCCTTTATCCTCTGAAAGACAAAGATTTGACTAAATACAGTATATGACTATGATGTGAGTTATCAGCTTTTTGGGGGGGAGAAAGCACATTGCATTGACATATTACAACTAGTGTAATCATTACAGATTTTACAATGACATATTTTTATTATTGCAATATGAACAAAAAAAGGAAATTGGATTTTAATTTGTTTGACTTTTATTCTGGTTAGATTGTTAAAGTTTCTCAGAAAAGTGGATTTATCTAACTTTAATGACGTCCTAAAAATGTCCTTGGTTTTATCTTTTCGAACACCTCTGTGGCCTCTTACTGTAAGGTAGCAATGACCAGCAGAAGAGTGGAGTTTCTGCTCTGTTTGTCTTATTAATCATCACAAAAAACTCAAAATGTTGCAGCAATTGGTAAAAAAAACCCCAAAACAACAACTTCTCATCCACCTTGATGAAAGCATAGCCAGCCCCGTTGTCTGTGATCGTGAGACCCAGTGCATCTTCTGTCTTTGTCACTTCCACCTCTTTGGTCTCCCCTCTTACATGGGCAAAGATGAAGTCCTCCAGTCCAATCTGTCCCCCCAGTAGTTTCTGCATGTCCACTTTATGAGAGTTGAGAGTGCAGAACAGGATCTGAGGAGAAGGAATATATATATATACATATATATATATATATATATATGTATATATATTAGGTAAAGTGAAAAAGTGAGTCAAGCAAGGCCTGTAGCCAGTATAAAGACTCACAAAAATTAATAAGCTATGGGACTGATCTTTGTTAGATTAAGTGTTAATAGTATTATTTATATTATTTCTAATACTGGACTGATTTAAGCACATTTGTTGGTATTAAAATCTAATTGCCACTGAATGCATGACCATAAAACTGTAACCCTGCAGCCTCTCTTGTTCTTTCATTAACTTGCTCTTGTTTTATTACAAAAGCAAATGGACCGCATCGAAATTTCTCAAGCTGTGCTGTACATACATTAGACAGCAGAGGGCAGTAGAGCCAAATAATAAGCTTAGCTGAATTTGTGGTCATGTTGTTTTCAGCTATGAGTGCGATATCTGCAGCACATCCAGCGGTGAATGATTAAGAAACTTCATTTAAAAGTTTCAACTTCATACAAAACTATTAAGCCACAACATACATGCAGGTTGAGTAGTAGCCTAATACACGTTTTTTCCTTCTGCTTTACAAGATCACACAATCATACTTGTTGCTGATTCACACTACAGATCCAAATTCTTTTCTAAAAAAAAAAAAAAGCTCTCAAGATCGCCTTTTTAACGTCACCCATGCATTGAAACAATTGTGTTTTAAACGAGTATGTTTAAAACTGTGTGACTGAACCTTTGTAGAATATCTTGTCCATGATTATTTGAGAACTTGAGCTTTCGCAAACTGTGCGAGCAGATGTCAAAGTTCAGTTTTCTTTCATAAACCGACATTCGAGATAACTTGCGTTGACTTTTTTCTTTTTTCATAATAACTGCCTTGGCAAACGTCTTACTGTCGTCCAAAGTCTTCTCTGATACCTGGCTTTACAATAACTCTATGCTATTGCTATTGATTCCATCTGAGGTCAAGGACACTTCTCACTGTCTGCATGCAATTGGATTTTAGGCAGTTATACAGTGCATGTTGTTAAAGTAACTAAACTAGTAACATTTAATCATAAAGTCTCTCTGTATAGCAGGGAGAGTATTTGTACTTTTGCAGTCTACCCTGACCAAATATATTTCACATTAAAAAAAGACGTATTTGTTGATGTATTTGTTGCAAGGTAATTCATGAATCTGTATTATTTCCTCACTTAGTAAGCAGCTTTTTGTTGTTGTTTGTATGTTTATTTGTTGCTGAATTCTTGGATGTGACATGACATGGCTGACAACTTCAGATGGGGAAGTGTTTGCAATATATTCTACAGCTACAGGTTACTTTTTACAGCTTGATCTTCTGAGTTGCAGGGCTGTGTTTGTAATATCAGACTACATGTAAATGTATTTCATTATACATTATTAGTATTGTAAATCAATGTAAATAGAACAAAAAGATAAAGAAAAAAAAATACTAAGGGAATGATTTTAACACTTATCGAAAGTAATCGCATATTTTGTGTTAGTGAGGATCAGTTGATTGTTTCCTTCTAAAACAGATATTGCATGTCAAAGGTTACTTTAACAAGGTTGAACATTGCGTGCCGCATGTTTTTTCATGTGATTGCATGTGTCACAGTCATGGTTGGCGGGTGCCCAACAAGAACGTCAAGGTCATTTACTATGAAATGTAACTTGGTCTCCGTGGCTTAATCTTACGTTTATATCTATCAGTTATGCTGAAAGCCTTCATGGTTGGCCTTTATAGCTGATAACTAGCTGATAGGGCCAGAGTTGAAGAGTGATGTTCTATTGCCAAGTGTGTTCAATCAGCTATGGAATGAAGCAAAAATAGCAGCAAATGCTGCATTCAAGTCTTTTCAGTTTATATATGTGTGCTGGTGCAAATCATTTGTGTATATCTTTATTAATTATGTTGGGTTTTTTTGTTTTGTTTTACTGTTTCCTCCTACTCTTTCTTTGTTGCGTCTATTAACACCTGCTCTGGCTGAATTTAATCTAAATGGCCATCTTAAAATAATTTGCCTTTTAACATGTTTAGCACTCAGGGCCGTAACAGACTGCTCCATCCAGGCCTTCCAAAGGTTCACAGTCAAGGTCTCAACTCAAGGATTACAGGCTTTATGAGCAGATTCTTCTGTAACCTAATTGCAAGCAACAATTTGGTAATCTACAAAGCTACAAGTGAGCTATTTAGTTGTCTATTAATTATTGTGAGGGAAAAGAAAATATATATACTGTAAGTTATATTATCTACTCAAATTGTGATACTTTACATGACTGTGCTCTAATACATTTTTAAGTCTACACGAGCTTTAACAACTATCTAATGTGTCAAATATTTCTTTTAGAATTTACTGAGAATGACTACTTTTCCAGTTAGAAAAAATAGGTATTCAGTTCTATTCATAAAAACAGCCGCAGTGTTATATTCCTATGAGTGACTAAGCACACAATATCTTTTTGTCTACCCTACTTTGTGGGTTAATCAACTTTCAAAATAAAATTATTTCCTCCTGTTGTTGTTGTTTTGTTTTTTTTAGGACTCTATAACTGTAGCCTGTCACGTTAAATGTTTGTTAACTGATAAGAAGTCCTTATATGGTTATTTCTTTCCGCTATTGGTCCTGGTCAAGGTGCAAACCAATACACATGCTGGCTGACAGTAAGTAGTAAATGATCGTTGCGCTTCATGGAAAAAAAAGAAGAAGCAGAGAATGGAAACCCAACACCTGTTCACAACTAGCCTGATAGTCCTGAATTTCTACTGGTTAAAAAAAAACAACCAAATGGTTGTTTTTAAAAATGTGTTTCCACAACTGAACATGTCACTTTATTATTTTATTGCATCCATAGCCAAGTGTAGTTGTACCTCTGAGGGGGAGATGTTGAACACTTCTGCGATCTTGGCATACAGCTCCTTGACATTAGTGAATCCATGAATACGGCCTGTGGGACTCCCATGAGCCAGCTGGGTGTGGAAGATGAGCTTAGGTCTGGGGTATTCTGGTGGCCCTGCTGGTGGCGGTGAAGGGGGAGGGAGCGGAGGCGCTGTGGGCTCCGGACACCCCTGACTCTGGCTCTGGTTCTGGGCCTTCTGCTCCTCCGTGGCCTCGGCCCCTGCTGCCTTGGAGTCCTGCGGGCTCATAGCCTCTCCGGTCTGCATCAGCCCCAACTTAAGCTGGGTCCTCCCCTAGGAGCCCTGGTGGTGCACTGCTCAGAAAGAGAGAAAAACACTGTCCTCCCCGACCGTTTAGCTGACCAACCATCCAACCAACCAGCTACTCAAAGCTTTGCAGCAAAGAAAACATAAATTAGTGATGAGAGCAGCTTGGTAACAGAAGCTGAAAAAAGCAAGCCAGACTCTACCAGGTAGAAACCCAATACCTTTTGAGTTGAGGCTTGTATTTGTTACACCTGAGCCTTGGGGAGCTCACGCATATCGAACACACACAAAACATATCAAGCAACGGGTTTTTTGTTCATATATGTGATATGGTTATGATTCTAATCCTTATATCAGTTCAGAGAAGTCACACAAGCACGTCCTAGAATATGTAAACCTCCTTCTTAAGTGTGAAGATTTCCTGCATACCTGCAATTCTGTATAACTACCAAAGTGGGCCACTGGGAGTTGGTCACAGACAATATCCCAGTGTTACCAGTAAGATGATATCCTTGTAAGATGCCCCCGTTCGCTGGCCTTATTGAATGAAAGAGGTTGTTGCTGGGGTAAATCCTTGGTGATGCAGTGACCTTTCTGACCCCACAGACAACTTACACCAACACAAGATTACACTTAAAGCCAAAATATAGATGTTTAACTCATTAACTCAATCTAAATTAGTGTCTTAGAAAGTGTTGACACATGACTAAAAAACACTCAAATAAAGAGTATTACAGTATATCTTATTATCAAACTCCAAGCACTGGTCATATATTGTTCACGGCAATGTAAATGGACAAATAATACCCATGAGAGATGGAAGTGTAGTATTAGTGATTAATGCAGTTAATAATAAAAAGGAAATTTTCATCAAGTGCTTGAAAAGCTCAGCTAGTAACAGTAAACACTGGATGAAAACTTACCCTTCACACATGGGGTAGACTGAAACAAAAGCCAGGGCGAGCTTGGAAAGGGCATTTTTATTTTCATTTTCATTCGAATCTGAGAAAAACAGGCAGGGCAATATGTAAAAGATGTTCTACTAATTATTTATGGGGAATGGCAGGTGACGTTCAAACAACAAACAGCCTTATGTGAAATGACTCAATATATTTCCATGACATTGTGCCCATGTGATCAGCTGCCTCTCATAGTTTTACTTGTCTCACTTCATCCCGTGTGATGCACTACTGATGCAAATCAGGGATTTTTTTTAAAAAAAAATTTTGCCTTCTCTGGACACAATAAAATATTTGTCTTTCAGATATGGAAATTCCAAATGGGCAACTCAGTATGTCCCTGCCAATGTGACTTCCTCCAAACAGTGGTTCTTTCCAATGTTCTTTCTTCTGTCTGCATAAATGTTTGCATACTAAAATAATGTTTGAGATGTTTATACTACTTAGCAAGTTTATTATAGCTAAATTCAAACTAAAAATTAAAACTAGATGTGGAAAAAAACATTTTAGTTAAATACATTTAAAAATAGACTTATGAATAAAATTTCAACAGAAACTATTTTGTGAACTTGGAAAACTAACTAAAAAATGTAAAGGAAACATCCGTAGTTTCAGTGTTTGTTAGAAGATTTTACAAGAACTTTATTGAGACTCTGGATGTCCACAAGACTGTGAGTCATTTCTAAATACAGATATATTTATCCATCCGTTACTATTACAACATTTACAGCTATTACTGTTCCTGCATTACTGCTAGTAATATTCATAATTAAAATTATAGTCATAGTAATTTATCTACGTTTATAAAGGTCATACTAAGGATGAGTAATGCTATATAAATGAGGAAGCACTTGCTGATACTTTGCTATCAATGCTTAAAAGTGACAAAACTCTTTTCATATAGCTCATTCCTTTTCTTCCTTCCAAGATGTTGCGAAACTTTTCGGTGTTCTCGAGTATTTAGTCCAGAATTTGGTAATAGAAATCTTTCTAGCAACACATTAATTTAGCAACAGATAGTAGATAGTCCTCTAAGCAAAGGACAGCTCACTTTCTTCTCTTGCTCAGACTTGCATGATAATCTGGATCTTTATCTTTAACACCCAGCCTAACATATACACATTGTTACATGTAAAACTGAGACTTCAGTAACTCCATGCAGTCAAAAATCGTGCAAATAAGATTCTATAATGCAGAAGTAAAAACGAAACTAAAGGACAGCCGGTAAATGAATGCTAACGGAAGTATTTTTTAAAATGTTTGCAGTGGTGCACATTAAATGTTCCCATTCAGCCTAACAGCTTTTAAGAGATGACGTTTCTTTTTATTATTCAGTCATGTTAAAATCCTTTACAAATATTGAAAGGATAAAGGACAAGTATGTGACTCAAACATTTAGTAATAGCAAAAGGTGTGGTTTTACAAGACTAAAATCTTTTACTGTGGTGAAAAAAACCCATTGCTTTTATTCTGTTTTTCTCTTTTTTCAGTATGTGTATTTTTTTTATTTTTTGTTATGCAGTTTTCATTTTTCAGGAAATTCCCCTGCTATGTCAAAGGTTACATTTCCCAATCCTTGCTACTTACTTTTAAATTTATATTCTCTCTAATAATGATACCTGATGTTTTGCTTGTGGTTATTCCAAAGACCTGCTGTAAACACTGCGTTTCAGTAAGAATTTAAGGTCAGGAAGAAAGATATTGTGCATATTTCCAGGCTAACAAATACCCTGGGACCCTGGGATTTTATTATTTTTTGAATCTTTGGGTGGTTTCCTATTTGGTCAATTGTAATCCATCTTATTTTACTCAGTAGCCAGCAGAGAAACGCCAGTTACTGCCTACACTGCACGTACACCCCCCAAAACATGATTTCCTCCCCTCTATCTGTGTTGTTTCCTGGGAGAGGGGATGGAAGGGGAGACCGGGGGTTGGCTGGTGTAGGCCAGATTTTGTGAGGGTGGTGTGTTTGCTGTGTCATGCGGCAGTACACTGCGTCTTCTGTTCACAGTAGCGTGGCAGCGCCTGAGCTGCCAAGTGAGGCCAAAAAAGGCTTCTGGCATTTGCGTCCACATTTCTCAAAAATGCTATAAGATAATGGTTCTGTTTTGTGTGTGTAAGATCTCTATGAATAGAGTTTAACTCTTGGGAATGCAGTGACAAGTAATTAAGAAAATATTATTCTAACTTTTTCATATTTTTAGACAGAATGGACCCTCGCGGCCTCAACAACGAGGCTGAAAGTCAAACCCTAAAACAACTTTTTCGAGGTTGCTCATGTCTTATCACACAAACAGAGTCACTTCGATACGCGACATCTCTGTAACATATTCTGTTTTTTTCCTACACATACATAGTCACATGTAGCACACGTAGACATCCACTGTGATTGCAATGTGACTTAGCTGACAGTCTAAACTGTGGCCTTATGACCTTGGTCTGCTGAGTAGGTGTATAAAAAGCCATTTGTTGCTGCAGTTGGTGCCATTTTCCAGTGAGGTGGGGGAGGTGAAACTGCATGCTGGCAGTGCTGGGCTAAAATGAAGTGGTATGGACCACAAGAAAAGACACCAAGCGAGGAATTATAACCTTCTGAGTTGTTGGATTTCCCCTAATAAAATGGCACAAATTTTCGTTTGTCTTCTAGCTCATCATAAGCAGTGATATTTAAGTAAATTTGCTTTACTGTGCCCTGCATGCCAGCACCAGTGGAATTAGTTGACTTGCAGTGACACAACTGCTCTGTCTGAAAGTGCTATTGTTTATTTAAAACGCAGATGATCCTGGTAGCTTATGTTTGTTTGTTTTAATATGAGCTGATGTGGCCGGTTTCATTATCACACAACAAAACTTGAGCTTTCAGTTCTTAAATGAAAAAAGTAAGTAGGCAACTCTCTGCAGCTTTTTCAAATTAACTTCAGTATATTTTGACACAAGAAACACTGTTGTTAAACCACAGGGCATACACCCCTCTGTTGATCGCACGTGAGATGTTAAAACCGTGTAAATTATTGACTGAAAAGGCCATGCCAGCACAACAACGTTACGGAGCCCCGTTTTTATACCGCTCTTCAGAAAGGGACGACCCCATTTCCATAAAAGGTAATGGGCGGTCAACGCAAGACAAACCACCGTATTCTGATTGGACAACCGGGCTGACATGACCGTTTTTTCAACCTTGTTTGCCAAATGTGATTGGTCCTCCGACTTGGTCCGATTTAAGCTCATTATCATAATCAGCCGTGGCTGAAGTGGGGAAGAAGAGGGGGGTCAGGGGAAAAAAAGCAGAAGCCAAACAAGAACGCTGGAGTTTGGCGTGGAGAGTCGTTTCTATACGAATCGACTACCACTGGCTGAGGGAAGAATGCTTGAAAACAAAAGAGAGAGGTTGAAAACTTTCCTCAGGAAGATCGACGAGAAGGCCATTGTCAGAATAAAACACTTCATGAAAGAGAGGTAAGCGGTATTAATGCGGTGCGGCTAGCCGAACCGTTATTTGCCGGGTGTGCATCAGTACTGGGCGGATGCACACTATCCCTTTGACAGCAGCTTGTTCGATAAGATTTTATATTTTGAGTTCATGCTGACGTGCTGTTTAACCGAACAGTGTTAAATAAGTTTAAGGGAGCAATTTTGGTTAAGATGGACGTGATGCCAGTTACTGGGGATTTACTGCTAACATGGTAGCACTCGCTAGGCCGAAGATCTGCTGATATTTAAATGAACTAATGCTAACGATACATTCATATATATATATATATATATAATTTTTTGTTTTTTTTAACGAAATTAAAGCTGTTAAAGGGTAAGAGCTAAAGCTCACTAGGCACCAGTAAATAGTTGCAGCCGCTGGCACCTTTTATAGTATTGGTTTGTGTGCATTAGCACAGCATATACTGAAGCATAAGAGCCTAAAGGATGTTGTTAGCTTAGCCACTGACTTGGCTGGTAGTCTGAGCATCTGACCCCATTCATGTTTCCTGGCTAGTCTTGGTAAAAGTGTTTTCCAGTGTTAAAATGTAATTACTTGGCCACTGATGTATGAAATGTTGTCCTCTGAAGTAAATATATGTGCTTTAAAACTTAACACCAATGTGTGAAGTGTGGTTTTACACGCTGGGTGGGAGGGTGGGTGGTGTAATTTCAAACTGTTGTCTTTCATCGTTTATTTCAAATTTTCTAGAACAGTGTAGTCGACCCATTTTAGCCTTGTGATGTTTGTGTGAGCAGTATTAGCTCCTTAATCTTTTCCAGTAAGCGTAAATAAACAGTATTACCAGATGGAGAGTGGTGTAAACTAAGCTAGTCCAGAACTTGTAGGCTCTTAATCTCGCCTTTGCCCATTTCTGAGAAATCATGACTTCATCTGCTGACCAATGTGGGTCAGATTGGCGTCATATTGATTCTGTAGTCATCCTGACTGATAATCTAGTCTTTTCAGTGGGCAGAGGCACGTTTACCACCATCACAGTCACCCACACGAGCCTACAGTATAGTGTGTTTCCCTCTAACCTCTCAGGGAAACTCACAAACACACTTGTCACATGTAGTATGTCCAAGTCTGTCTTCTCAGAAAAAACTATTTATAGCTCCTGTGAGTTGACCACAGGTGGTACATGGTGTATTATATAAATGCTTTCAGCATTTCATTGTGAGTACTCACGTCCTCTGAGCTCTGCCTTTAAGTTCTTCCCCTTACATGGCCATTTGCTCGAGTGCCAACCCAGCTGAAGTGTCCTGCCGGTTATCAGGATAGCTACTGTGTGTGTCCAGTATGGCATGTACCATGATCATGTTTCCAAAACTCGCACTTTTTTTTATGATGGTGTAAGGCTTCAAGAAAAACCAAAACTCTTGCCTTGCGATTGCAACATTAAGCCAGAGTAATTCAATTCCCTGCATTGGTTAATTTCCAGAATGAAGTTGAAAGTATCAGATTTAATAAATGTGCTGCTTATTTTTGTCAAAAAAGTGACTGAAGCCAGGAATTAAGTGAAATCTCTGCTTTAACACAGATTACATGCTTCTGAGCTCATTGCAAGTTGTAGTTGTTTTGCATACTGTCAGATGTCTTTGCTTCCAATGTAAAATAACCTGGTGCAGATTAGCTGCAATGTCTGGGCGTAGGAGCCTAGTATAGTCTGGGTGGGGCAGCTATGACTCCAGAAGGATGCTCCCAGTGCAGACCTTCCTTGCCACTGTAGGCAGAGAAGACTGTGGTTTAAATAATGCTGCAGGCATTGGGAAATCTGAAGTTAGAAGATGAAAACCACATTTGCACCACTGTTTGTCAGTAAATGAAAGGTTGAAGGCCAACTAGGTGGTCACATTTGAAGTTGCGTGTTGCTTCTGTCAGTCTAGTGCCACCTTGTTACAGAGTCAAGAAAGAGGCTATATT